CCAAAAACACAGAAAATGAAGAAATAAACTGCAACCCGAGGACGGTCAGGGCTAACGGCCGAGCTAACAACCGAGCTAACGGCCGAGCTAACGACCGAGCTAACGGCCGAGCTAACGACCGAGCTAACGACCGAGCTAACGACCGAGCTAACGACCGAGCTAACGACCGAGCTAACGACCGAGCTAACGCTGTACAAGCTAACGCCGCCTTCCTCCACAGCAACAAACACAGCTCCAGGACACAACACTTCAACCTCAACTGTTTATCTGTTCATAAATAACACATGTTTAAAGTTACAGACCCCAGCTTTAAAGTTACAGACCCCAGCTTTAAGGGAAGTAGTGATTCTTGTGTTGTCAGATTTAGAAAATGCTTTAAACCAATGGTACCAGAGAGAGACCAGAGAGAGAGACCAGAGAGAGAGACCAGAGAGAGAGACCAGAGAGAGAGACCAGAGAGAGAGACCAGAGAGACCAGAGAGAGAGACCAGAGAGAGAGACCAGAGAGAGAGACCAGAGAGACCAGAGAGAGAGACTAGAGAGAGACGAGAGAGAGAGACCAGAGAGAGACCAGAGAGAGACCAGAGAGAGAGACCAGAGAGAGACCAGAGAGAGAGACCAGAGAGAGACCAGAGAGAGAGACCAGAGAGACCAGAGAGAGAGACCAGAGAGACCAGAGAGAGAGACTAGAGAGAGACGAGAGAGAGAGACTAGAGAGAGAGACCAGAGAGAGACCAGAGAGAGAGACCAGAGAGAGAGACCAGAGAGAGAGACCAGAGAGAGAGACCAGAGAGAGAGACCAGAGAGAGAGACCAGAGAGAGAGACCAGAGAGACCAGAGAGAGAGACCAGAGAGAGACCAGAGAGAGAGACCAGAGAGAGAGACCAGAGAGAGAGACCAGAGAGAGACCAGAGAGAGAGACCAGAGAGAGAGACTAGAGAGAGACGAGAGAGAGAGACCAGAGAGAGACCAGAGAGAGACCAGAGAGAGAGACCAGAGAGAGACCAGAGAGAGAGACCAGAGAGAGACCAGAGAGAGAGACCAGAGAGACCAGAGAGAGAGAGAGAGACTAGAGAGAGACGAGAGAGAGAGAGACTAGAGAGAGAGACCAGAGAGAGACCAGAGAGAGAGACCAGAGAGAGAGACCAGAGAGAGAGACCAGAGAGAGACCAGAGAGAGACCAGAGAGAGACCAGAGAGAGACCAGAGAGAGAGACCAGAGAGAGAGACCAGAGAGACGAGAGAGAGGGACCAGAGAGAGACGAGAGAGAGAGAGACCAGAGAGAGACCAGAGAGAGAGAGACCAGAGAGAGAGACCAGAGAGAGACGAGAGAGAGAGACCAGAGAGAGAGACCAGAGAGAGACCAGAGAGAGGGACCAGAGAGAGAGAGACCAGAGAGAGACGAGAGAGACGAGAGAGAGAGACCAGAGAGACCAGAGAGAGACCATGGAGAGAGACCAGAGAGAGACCAGAGAGAGAGACCAGAGAGAGAGACCAGAGAGAGAGACCAGAGAGAGAGACCAGAGAGAGACCAGAGAGAGAGACCAGAGAGAGAGACCAGAGAGAGAGACCAGAGAGAGAGACCAGAGAGAGACCAGAGAGAGACCAGAGAGAGACCAGAGAGAGAGACCAGAGAGAGACCAGAGAGAGACCAGAGAGAGAGACCAGAGAGAGACCAGAGAGAGACCAGAGAGAGAGACTAGAGAGAGACCAGAGAGAGAGACCAGAGAGAGACCAGAGAGAGACCAGAGAGAGAGACCAGAGAGAGAGACTAGAGAGAGACCAGAGAAAGAGACCAGAGAGAGAGACCAGAGAGAGAGACTAGAGAGAGAGACCAGAGAGAGAGACCAGAGAGAGAGACTAGAGAGAGACCAGAGAGAGACCAGAGAGAGAGACCAGAGAGAGAGACTAGAGAGAGAGACCAGAGAGAGACCAGAGAGAGAGACCAGAGAGAGAGACTAGAGAGAGACCAGAGAGAGAGACCAGAGAGAGACCAGAGAGAGACCAGAGAGAGAGACCAGAGAGAGAGACTAGAGAGAGACCTGAGAGAGAGACCAGAGAGAGAGACTAGAGAGAGAGACCAGAGAGAGACCAGAGAGAGACCAGAGAGAGAGACTAGAGAGAGAGACCAGAGAGAGACCAGAGAGAGAGACCAGAGAGAGACCAGAGAGAGACCAGAGAGAGACCAGAGAGAGACCAGAGAGAGAGACCAGAGAGAGACCAGAGAGAGACCAGAGAGAGAGACCAGAGAGAGACCAGAGAAAGACCAGAGAGAGAGACGAGAGAGAGAGACCAGAGAGAGACCAGAGAGAGACCAGAGAGAGACCAGAGAGAGAGACCAGAGAGAGAGACCAGAGAGAGAGACCAGAGAGAGACCAGAGAGAGACCAGAGAGAGAGACCAGAGAGAGACCAGAGAGAGACCAGAGAGAGACCAGAGAGAGAGACCAGAGAGAGACCAGAGATAGACCAGAGAGAGACTAGAGAGAGAGACCAGAGAGAGACCAGAGATAGACCAGAGAGAGACTAGAGAGAGAGACTAGAGAGAGACCAGAGAGAGACTAGAGAGAGAGACCAGAGAGAGACCAGAGAGAGACCAGAGAGAGACCAGAGAGAGAGACCAGAGAGAGAGACCAGAGAGAGACCAGAGAGAGAGACCAGAGAGAGAGACCAGAGAGAGACCAGAGAGAGAGACCAGAGAGAGAGACCAGAGAGAGACCAGAGAGAGAGACCAGAGAGAGAGACTAGAGAGAGACCAGAGAGAGACTAGAGAGAGAGACCAGAGAGAGAGACTAGAGAGAGACCAGAGAGAGACTAGAGAGAGAGACCAGAGAGAGACCAGAGAGAGAGACCAGAGAGAGACCAGAGAGAGAGACCAGAGAGTGTATAAAGTGTGTGAGGGTTTAGAGGCTGAACATGTGAAGAACCAGGACCAGTGTAGTTTCATTGTCTGTTGATGGAAACCAGTGAAGTTCGGCCCTGGTCCACAGCTGGTCTAGAGCTGGTCCTGGTCCTGGTCCAGAGCTGGTCCTGGTCCTGGTCTGGGGAGGAGGCTGAAGTGCTGCGTCCACAGAGAGACAGTGAGAGACAGAGTCCGTGGAGTCTCTGATGGTCCAGGGCAGTGAGGTGTAGGTGCTGCCATCGTCCACTGGGGGCACTATGACACGCCATTCACCAGCGGGAGGGCATCTGGCTTGTCCCGCTTCAGGCCTCTGATTGGACGGTGGTGAGACGGAGCTCCTCCCCCTCTGGACGAGTGCTGGACACTACGCTCGTTTCCATCCACACGAATCTGAGGAGGGGGGAGGGGAGGGGAGGGGAGGGGAGAGGAGGGGAGGAGGAGGAGGAGGGGAGGAGGAGGAGGGGAGGGGAGGGGAGAGGAGGGGAGGGGAGGGGAGGGGGAGGAGGAGGGGAGGGGGAGGAGGAGGGGAGGGGGGAGGGGAGGAGGAGGGGAGGGGGGAGGAGGAGGGGAGGGGAGGGGAGGAGGAGGAGGAGGGGAGGGGAGGAGGAGGAGGGGGAGGGGGGAGGAGGAGGGGTGAGAAGAAAAAGAGATGTGTTTAGAGCTCGAACAAACCCCAGGTGTTTAGAGGAGGAGGTGCTACAGCTGTGTTTAGAGGAGGAGGTGCTACAGCTGTGTTTGTAGGGGGCTCTACAGCTGTGTTTAGAGGAGGAGGTGCTACAGCTGTGTTTGTAGGGGGCTCTACAGTTGTGTTGGAGGAGGAGGCTCTACAGCTGTGTTTAGAGGAGGAGGTGCTACAGCTGTGTTTGTAGGGGGCTCTACAGTTGTGTTTGGAGGAGGAGGTGCTACAGCTGTGTTTGTAGGGGGCTCTACAGTTGTGTTTGGAGGAGGAGGTGCTACAGCTGTGTTTGTAGGGGGCTCTACAGCTGTGTTTGGAGGAGGAGGCTCTACAGCTGTATTTGGAGGAGGAGGTGCTACAGCTGTGTTTGGAGGAGGAGGTGCTACAGCTGTGTTTGGAGGCGGTGCTACAGCTGTTTTTGGGGGAGGTGCTACAGCTGTGTTTGGAGGAGGTACTGCAGCTGTGTTTGGGGGAGGTGCTACAGCTGTGTTTGGAGGAGGAGGTGCTACAGCTGTATTTGGGGGAGGTGCTACAGCTGTGTTTGGAGGAGGTACTGCAGCTGTGTTTGGGGGAGGTGCTACAGCTGTGTTTGGAGGAGGAGGTGCTACAGCTGTGTTTGGAGGCGGTGCTACAGCTGTGTTTGGAGGAGGTGCTACAGCTGTGTTTGGAGGAGGAGGTGCTACAGCCGTGTTTGGAGGAGGTGCTCCAGTTGTGTTTGGAGAAGGAGGTGCTCCAGCTGTGTTTGGAGGAGGAGGTGCTCCAGCTGTGTTTAGAGGAGGTGCTCCAGCTGTGTTTGGAGGCGGTGCTACAGCTGTGTTTGGAGGAGGTGCTACAGCTGTGTTTGGAGGAGGTGCTACAGCTGTGTTTGGAGGAGGAGGTGCTACAGCTGTGTTTGGAGGCGGTGCTACAGCTGTGTTTGGAGGAGGTGCTACAGCTGTGTTTGGCGGAGGTGCTACAGCTGTGTTTGGAGGAGGAGGTGCTACAGCCGTGTTTGGAGGAGGTGCTACAGCTGTGTTTGGAGGAGGAGGTGCTACAGCCGTGTTTGGAGGAGGTGCTCCAGCTGTGTTTGGAGGAGGTGCTCCAGCTGTGTTTGGAGGAGGAGGTGCTACAGCCATGTTTGGAGGAGGTGCTCCAGCTGTGTTTGGAGGAGGAGGTGCTACAGCCATGTCTGGAGGAGGTGCTCCAGCTGTGTTTGGAGGAGGAGGTGCTACAGCCATGTTTGGAGGAGGTGCTCCAGCTGTGTTTAGAGGAGGTGCTACAGCTGTGTTTGCAGGAGGTGCTACAGCTGTGTTTGGAGGAGGAGGTGCTACAGCCATGTTTGGAGGAGGTGCTCCAGCTGTGTTTAGAGGAGGTGCTACAGCTGTGTTTAGAGGAGGTGCTACAGCTGTGTTTGGAGGAGGTGCTGCACTCACCTGTAAAGAGTCCTCTCTGGTCTTGGTGTCTCTGATGGTCCGTGGTCTGGAGTCGGTCCAGGTCAGATCGTCTGGAGACAAAAACACTTTAACAACAGGTCTCTGATGTCTCTCTCTGATGTCTTTCTCTGATGTCTTTCTCTGATGTCTCTCTCTGATGTCTTTCTCTGATGTCTTTCTCTGATGTCTTTCTCTGATGTCTCTGCCTGATGTCTCTCTGATGTCTCTGTCTGATGTCTCTGTCTGATGTCTCTGCCTGATGTCTCTGCCTGATGTCTCTGCCTGATGTCTCTGCCTGATGTCTCTGTCTGATGTCTCTGTCTGATGTCTCTGTCTGATGTCTCTGCCTGATGTCTCTGCCTGATGTCTCTGTCTGATGTCTCTGTCTGATGTCTCTGCCTGATGTCTCTGCCTGATGTCTCTGCCTGATGTCTCTGTCTGATGTCTCTGTCTGATGTCTCTCTGTCTGATGTCTCTGTCTGATGTCTCTGTCTGATGTCTCTCTCTGATGTCTCTCTCTGATGTCTCTCTCTGATGTCTCTGTCTGATGTCTCTGTCTGATGTCTCTGTCTGATGTCTCTGTCTGATGTCTCTTTCTGATGTCTCTCTGATGTCTGTCTGATGTCTCTCTGATGTCTCTCTCTGATGTCTCTCTGATGTCTCTCTGATGTCTCTCTCTCTGATGTCTCTCTGATGTCTCTCTCTGATGTCTCTCTGATGTCTCTCTGATGTCTCTCTGATGTCTCTCTCTGATGTCTCTCTGATGTCTCTCTGATGTCTCTCTGATGTCTCTCTGATGTCTCTCTGATGTCTCTCTGATGTCTCTCTGATGTCTCTCTGATGTCTCTCTCTGATGTCTCTCTCTGATGTCTCTCTCTGATGTCTCTCTGATGTGTCTCTCTGATGTCTCTCTCTGATGTCTCTCTCTGATGTCTCTCTGATGTCTCTCTGATGTCTCTCTGATGTCTCTCTCTGATGTCTCTCTGATGTCTCTCTGATGTCTCTCTGATGTCTCTGTCTGATGTTTCTGTCTGATGTTTCATTTAACCAAACAGTGATCAAAGAGTCTCTCACCTTTGAACCCCCCTCGGCCCCGCCCCCCTCTCCCCCGTAGCCCCGCCCCTGTGCCCCGCCTCCTCCCTTCTCCGCTGCGTCTGGGTAAAGTCCCGCCTCCTGTCAGCAGCTCGTCAGCCGGAGCCAGTGACCAATCACTGAGCTCGTCTTTGTGGTCCGACTCAGTCTCCGACACGTTCGACGCCTCTGAGTTAGTCCCTGAAACAACAAGACCAGTTACAGTCTTCTGGACTCCTCTAGACCAGTCCCAGTCCTCTGGACTCCTCTAGACCAGTCCCAGTCCTCTGGACTCCTCTAGACAAGTCCCAGTCCTCGGGACTCCTGTAGACCAGTCCCAGTCCTCTGGACTCCTCTAGACCAGTCCCAGTCCTCTGGACTCCTCTAGACCAGTCCCAGTCCTCTGGACTCCTCTAGACAAGTCCCAGTCCTCTGGACTCCTCTAGACAAGTCCCAGTCCTCTGGACTCCTCTAGACAAGTCCCAGTCCTCTGGACTCCTCTAGACCAGTCCCAGTCCTCTGGACTCCTCTAGACCAGTCCCAGTCCTCTGGACTCCTCTAGACCAGTCCCAGTCCTCTGGACTCCTCTAGACCAGTCCCAGTCCTCTGGACTCCTCTAGACCAGTCCCAGTCCTCTGGACTCCTCTAGACAAGTCCCAGTCCTCTGGACTCCTCTAAACAAGTCCCAGTCCTCTGGACTCCTCTAGACCAGTCCCAGTCCTCGGGACTCCTGTAGACCAGTCCCAGTCCTCTGGACTCCTCTAGCCCAGTCCCAGTCCTCTGGACTCCTGTAGACCAGTCCCAGTCCTCTGGACTCCTGTAGACCAGTCCCAGTCCTCGGGACTCCTCTAGACCAGTCCCAGTCCTCGGGACTCCTCTAGACCAGTCCCAGTCCTCGGGACTCCTGTAGACCAGTCCCAGTCCTCGGGACTCCTCTAGACCAGTCCCAGTCCTCTGGACTCCTGTAGACCAGTCCCAGTCCTCTGGACTCCTCTAGACCAGTCCCAGTCCTGTCAGAGTACCTGAGGTGAAAGCTCCTCCCCCTCGGCGTCCTCGGCCACGCCCCCCGTAGGGTCGTCCTCTCTCGCCCCTGTCCCCTCGCTCGCCCCGTCCTGCTCCGTTGTCGAACACGTAGACCTTGTCTTTGGGGTTTCTGGATCCTGGTCCTGGTCCTGGTCCTGGTCCTGGTCCAGCTCCTCCGATCTGGCGCAACTGCTCATCTATCTGCAACCGCTCCAGTCTCAGCTGGTCCACCTCCTGCACACACCAGGTGAGAGGGTTACACACCAGGTGAGAGGGTTACACACCAGGTGAGAAAAGGTTACACACCAGGAGAGAGAAGGTCACACACACCAGCTGAGAGACGGTCGTGCACACACACACGTACACACACACCTTTAGATAGTTGAGGTGATAATCCAGCAGAACTGTGGCGTTAGAAATGGCCTCCTTTGTTCCAACAAACACAAATGGAACCATCCCCTGAGGAAAACAAGAGACCAGTGAGAGACCAGAGAGAGACCAGTGAGAGACCAGAGAGAGACCAGAGAGAGACCAGAGAGAGACCAGAGAGAGAGACCAGAGAGAGACCAGAGAGAGACCAGAGAGAGACCAGAGAGAGACCAGAGAGAGACCAGAGAGAGACCAGAGAGAGACCAGTGAGAGACCAGAGAGAGACCAGAGAGAGACCAGAGAGAGACCAGAGAGAGACCAGAGAGAGACCAGAGAGAGACCAGTGAGAGACCAGAGAGAGACCAGAGAGAGACCAGAGAGAGACCAGAGAGAGAGACCAGAGAGAGACCAGAGAGAGACCAGTGAGAGACCAGTGAGAGACCAGAGAGAGACCAGGGAGAGACCAGAGAGAGAGACCAGAGAGAGAGACCAGAGAGAGACAAGAGAGAGACCAGAGAGAGACCAGAGAGAGACCAGAGAGAGAGACCAGAGAGAGACCAGAGAGAGACCAGAGAGAGACCAGAGAGAGACCAGAGAGAGACCAGAGAGAGAGACCAGAGAGAGACCAGAGAGAGAGACCAGAGAGAGAGACCAGAGAGAGACCAGAGAGAGACCAGAGAGAGACCAGAGAGAGACCAGAGAGAGACCAGAGAGAGACCAGAGAGAGACCAGAGAGAGACCAGAGAGAGAGACCAGAGAGAGAGACCAGAGAGAGACCAGAGAGAGACCGGAGAGAGACCAGAGAGAGACCAGAGAGAGAGACCAGAGAGAGACCAGAGAGAGACCAGAGAGAGACCAGAGAGATACCAGAGAGAGAGACCAGAGAGAGACCAGAGAGAGACCAGAGAGAGACCAGAGAGAGACCAGAGAGAGAGACCAGAGAGAGACCAGAGAGAGACCAGAGAGAGACCAGAGAGAGAGACCAGAGAGAGAGACCAGAGAGAGACCAGAGAGAGAGACCAGAGAGAGGGACCAGAGAGAGAGACCAGGGAGAGACCAGAGAGAGACCAGAGAGAGACCAGAGAGAGAGACCAGAGAGAGACCAGTGAGAGACCAGAGAGAGAGACCAGAATGAGAGACCAGAGAGAGAGACCAGAGAGAGAGACCAGAGAGAGAGACCAGAGAGAGACCAGAGAGAGACCAGAGAGAGACCAGAGAGAGACCAGAGAGAGACCAGAGAGAGAGACCAGAGAGAGAGACCAGAGAGAGAGACCAGAGAGAGACCAGAGAGAGACCAGAGAGAGACCAGAGAGAGACCAGAGAGAGACCAGAGGGAGAGACCAGAGAGAGACCAGAGAGAGACCAGAGAGAGACCAGAGAGAGAGACCAGAGAGAGACCGGAGAGAGAGACCAGAGAGAGACCAGAGAGAGACCAGAGAGAGAGACCAGAGAGAGACCAGAGAGAGAGACCAGAGAGAGACCAGAGAGAGAGACCAGAGAGAGACCAGAGAGAGACCAGAGAGAGACCAGAGAGAGAGACCAGAGAGAGGGACCAGAGAGAGAGACCAGGGAGAGACCAGAGAGAGACCAGAGAGAGACCAGAGAGAGACCAGAGAGAGACCAGAGAGAGACCAGAATGAGACCAGAGAGAGACCAGAGAGAGAGACCAGAGAGAGAGACCAGAGAGAGAGACCAGAGAGAGAGTAGAGAGAGAGTAGAGAGAGAGACCAGAGAGAGAGACCAGAGAGAGAGTAGAGGGAGAGACCAGAGAGAGAGACCAGAGAGACCAGAGAGAGAGACCAGAGAGAGACCAGAGAGAGACCAGAGAGAGACCAGAGGGAGAGACCAGAGAGAGACCAGAGAGAGACCAGAGAGAGACCAGAGAGAGACCAGAGAGAGACCAGAGAGAGAGACCAGAGAGAGACCAGAGAGAGACCAGAGAGAGAGACCAGAGAGAGAGACCAGAGAGAGACCAGAGAGAGACCAGAGAGAGACCAGAGAGAGAGACCAGAGAGAGACCAGAGAGAGAGACCAGAGAGAGACAGAGAGATCAGAGAGAGAGACCAGAGAGAGACCAGAGGGAGAGACCAGAGAGAGAGACCAGAGAGAGAGACCAGAGAGAGAGACCAGAGAGAGACCAGAGAGAGACCAGAGAGAGACCAGAGGGAGAGACCAGAGAGAGACCAGAGAGAGAGACCAGAGAGAGAGACCAGAGAGAGAGACCAGAGAGAGGGACCAGAGAGAGACCAGAGAGAGACCAGAGAGAGAGAGACCAGTGAGAGACCAGAGAGAGAGACCAGAATGAGAGACCAGAGAGAGAGACCAGAGAGAGAGACCAGAGAGAGAGACCAGAGAGAGAGTAGAGAGAGACCAGAGAGAGAGACCAGAGAGAGAGACCAGAGAGAGAGACCAGAGAGAGACCAGAGAGAGACCAGAGAGAGACCAGAGAGAGACCAGAGAGAGAGACCAGAGAGAGACCAGAGAGAGACCAGAGAGAGAGACCAGAGAGAGACCAGAGAGAGACCAGAGAGAGAGACCAGAGAGAGAGA